AAAACATCAAAGTGCAATCACTTTTGCCTGAGATCGAAATCAGAAATCACTGAGACAACCACTGAGAATGTAAAAGCATAGAACAGCTCTCTCTCCACTAGCACTAGACCCCGCAATATTGTGTAGCCAGAACCTCCCGATTGTCAAGCGAATGCTGAATGTCTGAAGCATTAGGATTATGACAACAAATGGTTTAAAATCACGGCTTCAATGAATTCACGATAATTCACAACTACCCGTGATTCGCTCTAGTGCAATAATTCCTCACACTAGATGCGAACGAATTCTGCTGCTTCTTACTAGAACTTACTAGAACCTAATGAATAAATCCGCCTTCCATTCTGTTAACTCAAATGATTTTGCACTCGTATTCTTTGCTTGATAATGCGACTTTTCTCATTTTACAACTTTCAAATTTATTTTCATAAATAATCAATATCAAATCTTGTTTACTTTCTATCTGTCATAATAGCATTATGTATGTAGATCCCTTTCACCAGTTGCTAAATCATCGAGGTTTATTCCTATAGATATTTGTGACTACTCAAACGATAAATGGGAAATGAAGAGAATAATTCAAAGTTTCGAATAATCCATTCCAATGTATGTTGTATGATTATAAACTTTTATTTCCATGGATGGAACGCCTCACCTCTAGACCAACGGGCCATTAGGAAAATAACGTTCATCCTTTAGAGAATATAGATTTTGAAGTTGTACACTGCTATCGTCGAAGTTGAAATGACTTAAGAATGTGGACTTATATGTAATTCATTAGAAAGACTGAAATCTTTCAACATTATCAATTGAGAGTTGAACTTCATTTTCAATGTTGAAGAAAACAAAGTCATGAAATGCCTCAAGATAGACTTATGCTTTCAAAAGGAGACAGTTGCAAACCTTTCCGTATCAGCGTGAATTCATCGTCCGATTATTACATTATTCTAGCTTCTTTTCAAACTTGATCATTTCGTTTGAATCCACATCTTTTTTTCGACGATTGATTTCAAGTCATGTTATTCCGGATCGCTATTAATTTTCTTTAAAATACTTCGTAATATAACTAGTTATTGATTTGATTTCACTGATCTCGTGTAATTATTTCTGATGATCGAGAATCTTTTCTCACATTTGATATTGATTTACAGCGCTACTCATATGTCTTCACTTTCGTTACTCCATCATGATGATAGATTTTACAATTTTATTTGTTGAATGAGGCCGTTGAGGACTACACGAAATAAGAAGTATTGATGTTATCCTACTACTGTTTATAACGTCAGATGTGTTAGGAGAAACTTAGAAATATGCGTTTACAATAGTTTATCAACTGGAATTCGACAGAAGCTTAGTCTAAGAGGACTAAATATTTACGGTCATGTATTTGCATACCATTCGCATGATCATGATAATTACCAAACAAAGAACATTAAATCGAGCACGGTTCGCTGAGGCGATTGTCATGGGAAGATCTCTGCACTCACAATTCCTCAGCTATCAAACTTGGTATGCTATGATGACCTCATTCATATGCGTTTGTCACGTAACATCTTGTGACGGATTATTTATTCTCAATTCTAATTTGATTTGTACTTTATTGATTTTAAGAGTTTCGTAACTAAGTCATCCGTTTCTTGTTCTGTTTCTGATGTGCTTATATGTTTGTTCCAGAATATTCTCATATCCAACATATAAGTATTAGTAATTATTTAGCCTACGTATTTATCATCTCTTATAGCCCTTATTTCTCTTTGATTAATCTTTACAGATGAGAACATCGGTTAAAAATAGCCGTTTGTAGATCCCGAGGTGACAAGAATTCATGAAACAAAGGAACTCGCCTTATTCTGATACATCTGTCAATCTTGTTTCGTTCAAATGTAACAAACATAAAGACTGCGTGAATTTCCACTTCATTTTAGAAATTACTTTTAGTTTCATCATGCAATTCATATCCAATGCATAATCCGTTCATAAAAGTTTCACCACAAAATTGATGTGACGTGCATTACAAGACAAGAACAGCATTAGCTACTCGAATGAACTTCATAATTATCATCTCTTGAGGCTTCAGAGAGATATGATGAATGACAGTTATGACACATTCATAGGCGGCGATTTTTCGCTAAATAACTTTAAGTATTTTTCATGATTTCTAAATCCTCAACTAGTGGTTAATTAATTGAATCATACGCATTTCAGATATAACATACTGTGTTTCAAATACTTTGCCAGCATCTTTCTTTCGACTATCTAAAGGGTATCTCTATCCTCTGGTCGAACAGAACATATTGAGTTCAATGAATAATTCTGTAGTGTAGTGTAAAGATAATACATTTATGTCCTTATATAAGTAGGCAGTTTTAACAACTAGTCAAACGACTAATGTTTGCATTTGTTTTATTTATTACCTTACTATAGAATACATATGAATAACTTGACATTATAACGTATATCATGACGACTTCATATCAAGTTGTATTGTCACACAACTTAGTCGAAAGTTATGTTAAGTTAATATTGATCAAAACGATCTCTCCTCATTTTGTACCCTCATTAAATTCCTTTCTAAATCTTTCTTTTCAATTCTAGATTCAAGAATCATCAATAAATATCAATCCCTTCAACAATATAACATTGTAATCATTTTTGACTAGAATATAGTTTCCTATGATATCATCATCGTTTCGAAAAGAAATTTTATGAATTGACAAGATGATTGTTTTCACGAAAAATCTAACAATAACAGATATCTGTATAACATGAAATAATCTGAATCCATTTCGATTCAGACCTAAAATTGAATACAATATAAAAATGTTATTTACAGAAGTTTCGTTGTCAATAATCACAATTTATGGATTCCAACGCAATCTCCGACCATTACATCCATCATTCCACCATCGTGCCACCTTCGGAACCCAATATGGACCAAATACAGGAGACGTGTGAGCTAGTAGACACATTGCACATTGAGGTTGTGCATCGTAATCATGAATTACTCCATGGCCATGCCATGCAAAGTACTCATTGTATGCAGTATCGTTTTTGTCCAAATATTTCAGATAGTCTGCAAGTTTAGCTGGTGATTCGAATTGGTCGACATGAATGAAAGAGTATGGAGGAGCAACTCTTTGATATTCTTCGATGGAGGCACCCATCACAATTGGGAGTAATTCGTTTCTTGAAACAAATAACAAGTGTCATGGTTCATCAAAATTCACCGAAACTTTACTAGAACAAATTGTCTATATTTATTAGAAAGTTCAGTGTCAGTGTAAATGTCAAAAGTCCATGATACTGATACCGCTAGGTTTATCAGCACATACTAAGTATTGTGATCTGACAAATTCATTTGTTTATTTATTCTCCGAATAAGTGGCTTACACTGAGTCATGAACGCATCAGAAAAGCGGTAAATTTTCCACTCTTCAGGATTCTACGAATAGATTAGTTTTCTTTTTGAAATAATAAATCGATCGTTTTAGACCACCATTAGAATCCTGTATTCATTCGACCAGCTTTTCGTCCTAGTAAGGGAGTCATCAGCTGTGTGCATTAACGTCTCCTGCTCACAAGGATCGGACTAAGAACCTCCAATCTGAAGCGCGAATGCCCACTACCTAGACTAAAATAGGACGAGACATGTATCCTAGATTTCACTGCCCGCCACCATCTATCTATGCGATTACTGTTGACTTATGATTTAGTACATGCCTAATCAAACTGGTAACATCTACAAGTGAAATCATTGAAATCTATTCCAGATAAAAGGAGTTTCATTCGTCCTCAAAAGTAAACGTGAGCTACATGTGCGGAAACCATTTCTACATCTCTCAATATAGCTTGATAAACTTATCACGAAGAGTTTTCACTTTACATTTTTGATGGGGATGTTAGATCCCCAGATCTCGCTTGACAAGTATCTTTATTTTGGATTTGTTTCATGGACCGATCAGCTGACCATGAAGTCACACTTTCCACCAGGAAAACCCTTGACTGTGATTGGTTACTGTGTCATTTTAGTGTGCTATTTTTGTGACTGTCCAAAGGACGTCTCTATGGAGTATAAATAAACGTAATCTGAGTGCTTGGATTCATTGTGTGCTGACTGGGTGTCTATAGAATTCACTTTCTACGCTATACCAAGACTTCTTGCTGGTACAATTTGGTCAAGGGATCACAGTAGCCTACCCGGACGCTGGTTCATTGTTTTGTTCTCGTTATTCGACTAATATGAACTCGTAATAGTTTAAGCATACCTAGAGACGAGAGTAACAATTTTACCCTGTATAAGCTTGTTCATATAATAAAGTTTGTGACAGCTACCTCTATTACTATTGCTACTACATAATCATATGGATAACTATGACTGCATTGAAATGCTGCATTAATGGCAAACTACTTACTTTAGCGCATTTCTATACAGCTTCTCTGTTATATATTCAGTGCATAAACTATTTTCAAAGCTCAAATAAAACTTGTAGTTTTCACGAATCAGCTTCAAACAGTTATCTGTTGAGGCGAATGTTGCATCATTCTTTGGACATGACAACGTACCACACGAACCATAAATATCAACCTGAAATTAGAAAAATTCAGTGTACTATTGATTCATAATGGGATAAGTTACAATGGTGTAGTTGACAAACCACGTCTGAATAAACTATCGGTATTTCTGTGCTGCAGAAATGTTGTCAACTCAATCGTACGTACAACATGCGATCATGCCGACATCATATTGAAGCAGTCAGGACAGAATTTGGTGCATACTTCATACACTGTTATCAACCAAAACATAACTTTAGCAAATCTGATGTACTTATATTCCAATTATTCCCAAACACTTTCTGTTTTATTTAACGTCCGCACTCCAGACAACAATCTGGTCAATTTACTTATAGTTTCCTTTCGAACCATTGTTAATAAGAGAATGGCTGACATGAAAAATTGTTTTACAGTGACAAATGTTGCACCCTAATTTGTGTATCACTTTCGTCTTTCATGAATAATTCATTTCGTCAGAATAATTAAAAAACTAGCAGAAACAGACAGTTAAGCATTGTTAAACTCACCGAGATGTATCGTGAAAGTTCTACGGCATATTGCATTCTAGGACTTTTAGGCACACAGTTACTCACAAACCATGCAACTTTCTTTGTTTTATTTTTGGCGAAGTTTTTGGAAGGCAGAGGATATCGTGTTTCTGGTCCATGTTGTTTTATATGTGGTTCATAGGAACCATACGGTGAATAAATTGTTGAATCCAGGCGAAACGATATGGTGAAATTCACCTGTATGTTCGAGAGACACATCGAAGTAAAATGACGTCATGAAATATTATATGAATGGAAACGTCTCTAACAATATTATTGAAAAATTATTTTCAGAAAGTGATTAGTGGGTGAATGTCGAGTTATTTAGTTAAACAGCATAGACAGACAATACACACTATAATAATCTTTTCAATATCTCTGGTATATTCGTGAGTTTTCACCGTTCAAATGCCCTAGACTGAGAAGCATCAACTCACTCGTAGTTTGTGGTTCTCAAAGATATGTCCGTCTCGTAGTCAAAATAAAAGAGTAATAACAAGCAGATATCTCTTGCTAACGAACAAAGATATTTGATCATTTAACTCTGTGATTTATGCAGCGGAATCGTAATTTGTAGCTGCCTATTTTTGCTGCAAAATCATTAGTGCCAATATATTAGGTAGATTGAAAAGCGATGCCAAAGATGATGTTGAAAAAATGGTTTGATGAGTGAAATAGTAGCAATTATATAATAACATTGGATTTGATTGATCTCTTCAATGATATATGAAACCATTTGTGTAAAAATGAATGATTAACAAGTAATAGCACTCACTGGTTCACGATGTTTGTGTCAACGGTAATATCTATGCTCTAAGCAAATGAATGCTATTAGAACGGAACCAGTGTGTCTAGCACTCGGACATGTCCCACTTCAAACTACAGAACTGTGGAGACCAGTTTTCTGATCAACACAATATGTTGATAAAACACTATTGGTAGAGGTGACGAAGATTTGTCAATATTGTTGACTAAATTATAGGGGACTGGATTACTGATTATAACCTTCGAAATAGTAAGTCAATAAAATAGTTCACTCCAATTGTAGTGAAGGAGAACACAGGTGGGGCAACCGGATTGTATTTAACGAAAATTACACAGTTACTCAGTAAAATCGGAAAACCATATCGTAAATCGTTAATTTGCAAAATATCAGTCCATCATATCGAACTGGACTGTTCCTGTTGCAAAATATCAATCCATTGTCTGACATTTCACTATTCATGCGTTTCATACAAATTCCATTGTGTTCTAACTCTTCCTTTCTTGATCTTCCACCATCTTCTGCTGCCAGACATTACGTTGACACTCACGTCATATACTACTTATAAGTAGCTCGCACCACACTATGTGAAGTAGGAGATCGAAAATGGAAGCATCGATGTTAAACGGTCTAACTAGCAGAACTCAACGTTGCCAATAGTAAATACTCATCTAGGGAATATTTTCAACCACCTGTTATGAAAAATATTCTCTTGCGAAACATTTCCTATAAAATGATGAGAAAAATTTAAATCTGTCGGTAACAAGTAGGAGCAACAAATTACAATTTGTGAAGGTGAAACGAATCGCTTTATAGTTCCACTGAAAAGTAAACATTACTTTCATTTGAATAAATTAAATTTCAACCACAAATCACACAACACATCCATCAAATAAACTATAGATGTGTTTTTATGAACCTAAACATTGACCGGAAATTCTAATTTCAAATTATGCATGAAATAATTTTTCGATTCATTTTTATTTTGTGTAAAATTTCTCAAAATCGATTGGTTCAACGTATACACTAAAACAAATTCAATTTTGACTTTTTGCTGGACACCTACACATACTTTACGATGTTGCATAATGCATACACTTTATACATGAAAACGTTCTACGAAATAAAACAAATCAATAATGAAATACGTAGCTAGATTACACAAATTTACCATTATTTCGTTGATTTTATCAACTACTGATGACCAGATAGATGACTACCGCACATTAAACTTTTAACACTGGTGAACACAAACAATCAAATGACAAACATTATCACTGCTACAAGGCCAAAACAACTCACTTCATTTTCTAAAGAGCCTGCCATTGCAATATGTACTGGAGATTCTTGTATTAAACTAAACCACAACTGCCCTGGTGGCCGAATTCCATTTGGCACTTTATCTTCTGTGAGTATGAGAGCATCAGCTTCTCGCCATCTGTTCATGTCAGTAATCACTGTACATTTCGAAGCATGACATTGTGAAAAGTTCATTGGTGTGAAAATTGTACGATGCCCGTAGTTGAGAAATTTCTTCACCTGAAACATGAGTAGAACAGCATTTTGTGCGTTGAATTCGCGAACTGATTGAACATCACATATTGAAAGTGATATAATTATAATGGCAACTGCTATGTTTGAGAGGATCCTGTTGTTGATTTGCTTGATGAGAGTTGGTTGGCATATGATGAGTATGCTAAATGGATTATTGCATTGACATAGCCATTAGGAAACAAGCTCATATAAAAGAGATAGAATGTGGCTTGTAGTGAAATTCACAACAACAGTTACACCTTATTTCTTACTTGTCAGATGGATGTACCTATATATCTTATATTAGATGTTTACACTGGGCGTTTCGAACGCAGTATCACTTGCTTCAAACTGGAATGTGAATGATTTTGACTCTCATGGTAAATAACTTTTATTAATATTTAGTATTGATCGAGAATATATCATTGCATTCATATATTAACTGCTCATGTTATACGTTAACTAGCAATAATTATCAAATGATTCATATAATTTATTAACGGAATTAATGTCACTTAAAAATAAATAGTTTGTGTTATGAATACCAACTGATTTATGGCAATCGTTTAAAAACCTTACAAGTAAAAGTTTATATTTAATAAACGTAGAAAAGAGAAAGAGGTTCAGAATGGGAATACCAGTAAATATTTACTTACAAATTAATCAATAAATGAAAAATTGCCATGGTGTTGTTAAATTGTTTACAATATCGAAATGACTGTAACAACATATTCGCGATATCCCAATTAGTAGAGAATTGAACATCCAAATTGAATTGCGGTCACTTCGTCAATCAAAAAAATTCAGAACTCATGTTATAACACTCGGATTTGATCAAAATTCAAAATCTTAATTTCTACTCAGTGTAAACTATCATCTAATTTTCTATACAGATAGTTTGATAAAACCGAGTTGAGGAAAGCTGTTTCATTCAATTCAATAATCGAAAATTTATTCAGTCCGTCAACTTACTTTCTTATACCCACTTAATGAATTGTATAATTCCTGCAGTCTATTTTCTTCCAGACTAAATCTCAATGAGTATTTTTGAACGGATGTTTGACTGATAGGAGAATATATGACATGTAATGTTCGAGCAAGATCCAATTCTGAATGGTTTGATATAGATATATTTGGAAATAACGATTCAAATGTTTGAGGTGATATGTCATATCTCTCCTGTTTATTATTCCATTGAAGCAGATTTGGTATAATGTTAATCAACCATACAATCAATAGAGTAACTGATGCACAAAACAACAATTTGACTTTCAATGAATGTTTTTCATTTCGTACAACAATGTCATAAATTTCGCTCATCATAATGATTATTGTAGAGGTGGTAGTTAGAGGTTGGTCATGGGAATTGATTATTCAACGTGTGAGTAATCTGAAAGTTGCAATATAATCAATAAATCACTGATAATCAAGTGAAACAATCTTTCGTCCTTGAAATATTATCACAAACAACAATATAACGTAGTGATGTTAATCATTTCAAACTATATTCACAATATTCATGTTTACTAGGACAACAGATACGTTCCGATTGAGTTGTACTGTAAAAATTGAATACACTAAGTTTCGTAGATCATTAAGTTTTGTAAGATATGAGAACAGCAAAAGTCATGAAGGTTTAGAGGACCATTTCATACTGGTATGCGACCTTCCAGCAGTACACATCTATGACACTGACATCGACACTGCAACCCAGAAGCTTAGGTTCCGCATGCAAAAGACTTGCATCTAGATCATGTCAAGGAGCATTCACATAACGAGGTAACTATTGTCTTTACATGTAAACTGATATTAAGGAAGACAGTGAATAAGGAATAACCATTGGGAGTTAATCAAGTATAAACATCCTAATCTACAAATTCATCCACTCATTCGCATTTACGAGTATTTATAAGTAAACCTTCACATGTTTTTGACATATACGATCTGCTTGTGAAACACAAGATTGTTTCTGTCGATAACGCAATCCTAGATGCATTCGCACGTGAATTATCGACATCAGCCTTATTGATTTAATACAAAGAAGTAATTAAATCTATTCGAAATAATTTAGAGAAAATTACAAATTACTTACAACCAACTGTATATCGGTTAAATCTATCCAGTTTAAATAGGTTTGTAACTAGTCATCAGTGTAATCAGTGTATACATGTCAATATAAGGTGACCTACATTTCGTTTTCACCAACCACAGATTAAAACTAATCACGTACGACTATTTCCAAATGTATGTACTTATAAATATATTCATGCACCTAAACATATTTTTATTGCATACATCTACTCTATTATTGGTCATACGAATATGAAATTGCGTTTGTGTAGTGAAAAGCAGTTTGTTCTCACCCTAAACCCATCTTTCCGAATTTATCCACTACAATGCGTTACACATGGTCTTTTACATTGTTTCGTATTTAAGCTTGTTTACTTCATTGGTCTCCTACACCTAAATGTTGACATACATGAATGGCATTAACAATGTTATGTGTGATCATGTTGTTCGAATTGTATTGGGCTTGTTTATCACACACTTATGAGGTTAGTACCCTGAAAATATACATCGATGGCTATGAACGAATATTATAGAATAGCGATATTTAATTTTGGGCTGTTAATGTACAGTCTTTAAAAAATGGATGCATTTATAACATGATATAGATTCGAGGAATCCTTACTTAGTAAAACACCAAAGATTTATACTAGTCCGATCATTTAACCTACCATACCTGTTGGCACAAATGTTCAATCTTCTTTGTTCCAAATAGTCACGATAATTTATGGATAAATCTTGATAAATATCGAAGTGAATACATACACGTACGGAGTTTATCGATGCTGAACGACTAACGAAAATATCAGGTTTTGTGTGAATGAGTGATGAAATATCCATTTTATATACAGCTCACATGTCAGACAGAAATAGAATGCCTGACATTACTACGCTTATGTGCTAGTTTGCTTTCATTTCATGAGATTGATATGAATCTATTACTCATCAAATAATATTTCGCATTCTTCTTCGAATAATCGATCACTGTTAGAAAATATTACCATTTCTCAACGTTATGATTAACTAATCATTTGACCTATATATGTGTTATTGGACCATGGTGTTCTTTGCGAAACCGTGAGAATCTGTCTTTGAATATGGCTATTAGAGTATTCACGGAAAAAAATCGATTTCATTATTTATGAACACTAGCGAAAACGATTATCAATTTTCAACTATTTTCTTAAAACAAAAACATTTGACATGTATATGTGCACATACATACATGCATGTATATGAATGTATTGACTCATCAACATATATGTAGATCTATATTTATCCATATCTCATGTTGAGATTGGCCAAGCCATAAGAGAAGTTTTGATAGGACAGTGAGATGTAATTGATCTGAAAAATGTGATGTATTTTGACTATACATTTCGAACAACCTGGTCACACATAATTACTTGTCAAGGCTTTTTATATGCAGATTAATAAAAGGTCAATCAAATAAAAGTTCAATATGACACAGGGTGTAAATAAAGGAGAGAGAAAATTAACGCAATATGAAAAGAATAAGAAAGGGTAGGAAAATTCTCACAACACCCTAGGCTTAAAGATTACCAAGGTAAATTCAAGGTTATGACAAATTGTTTCTGCACACATAAGGGGAGTTTTAATTTTCGAATAGTCAAGGTTTCCATAAACCTCAAAATTCGTCCTTTAACATTTCTATACAATGTTTTGAAGGCTCTCTTGATGTCAATCTTATACCCTGTCTCAATTGTGTTTTGCGATCGATGAACATGGTTTTCTATTTCCAATGCTAATCGGCTCATCTGACGTTAACTGATTTTGAAGCCACTTAGGTACATGTTCCATAACCCTTGATTAAAAAGTCCGATTACCCCTCCCTATGTATGTGTATCCACACAAACATGTAAATTGATAAATGCAATAGGATGTGATGTAATTATTCGAGCAATGTTTAGGTATATGTGAAATCATGGACTTGGTCTTTTCAATGATAATCGGTTTAGCAGCGTTGTATGTTTTCTCTAAGGCTGCTTTTAGTCTCTGTCTTAATATTAGACTATTTGCTTCACCTCTAAATGGTATAGTGATATAAACCTTTTTCTTCTCAGCAGAATGAAAAACTCGCTTTTGTCTTAACTGATCTCTACACCTATTGATGAACTTTAGCGGATAGCCATTTGAAATCTATGCTTCAGTTAAGAATTTTGCATCGTCGTCAAATGTATCCGTGGTGCGAATCCTTTGAGCCCTACTGAAGAGGCATTTTACCAAACCTCGCTTATATTGCAGTGGACAAAAACTACTGAAATTTAGATACTGTCCAGTCCAGGTTGGTTTTCTGTAAACAGAACGCTTTATAGTTCTATTTTCTCTTCGACTCATCAGTATGTCTAAAAAGGGCAATCGGTTATTATTTTCTGGTTCATGAGTCAGTACAATATCCTTCTGAGGGCTATTGAAGTTGTCCAGTAACTGAGATACGTTGAGTTCTTTATCAAATATAATTAAAATATCATCCATATATCTTCTATAGAGAGTAAGCTTATTGGTGTGCTCATTCCACAAATTTTCAGCATATGCCATATGAACAAACATCAGCTAAGAGAGGTCCCAAACAACTAGCCATAGCAACGACATCAACTTGCTGGAAATGTTCATCATCAAACGTGAAATGAACTTTCTCAGTACATAATAAAATAATTTCTCTTAGTAGACTTGACTGAATGGGAAAAAGAGGGAAATTATTTAATATATAGTCACAAAGAAAGTTAACAGTTTTCTTTAGGAGAACACTGGTAAAAAAGGAGTTTACATCAAAAGAATGCATAGTCTTTTCTTTAATATTAATGTCATCAAGAACATCAATTAGTTCAAATGTATCTTTCAGGGAAAACTGACACAATTTATTACGAATCGGGCTAAGTAATTTAACTAACCATTTGGCTAGCTTATGTGTAGGTGATAATATTGGTCTTAGTGCGTTGTTCGGTTTATGAATTTTGGGTAATCCATATAAGTTCAGTAGTTCAGAACCGGTAAGTTTTAACATATTTAATTTATCCTTATTGATAACATTCATGTTTGGTAGCTTCATTAGATTGGAGTTGACTCTCGATTCTAATTTTCTAACCTCATTATTAAATGAAACATTAGTCAAAAACTTTCTTTCATCACTAAGGATGAATAACATTTTCTTCTTGTAATCACATTTATTCATTACAACTACTCCAGAACCTTTGTCAGGTATGAGAATTACAATAGCTGATTTTTTACAGAGGTTCCTTAAGGCACAGAAATCTTTGGATGTTAAAATATTCCTGTCTTATTTTGGCACCGTGAAATTGGTGAGCGATATCAACCAATTTCGCGTTCAACCAGTTTCGATTATCTTGAGTGGATGGGACAAGAGGGTTCAGTTGAGTAAAGAGATTTTCAAACTGAGCGTCAATCGAGAATTTAGCGGCATGAGGTATGGAAAAGTTAAATCCGAGAGATAGAGCTTCTTTTCCATATACACAAAGTTCAACGGATGATAAATTTGTTACATACTTATCCGGGCTAAACTGCAAAGAATTTCCGCGATTATCAATAATGATGGACTTGTCCAACTTTTGCCTAGTAGTATATTTCGTTTTAGAGACCACCGAACTGCACAAGTTCATAAATTTAATATGACATACAATAGAAACATTTGATAATACGCATGATGGACACGTATGAAGTTCAATTAGCTTAGATATCATTTCATAACATTTTTCCACGTGAGATTTCACAAAATTTCTATGTTATTATTTATGAACACTAGCGAAAACGATTATCAATTTTCAACTATTTTCTTAAAATAAAAACATTTGACATTTATGTGTGTACATACATACATGCATGTATCTGAATATATTGACGCATCGATGTATATATATACATATACATACACCTCATGTTGAGGTTAGTCAAGCCATAAGAAAAGTTTCCTGAACACCACTGTTATCATTCACAAAATATCGATTTCATTATTTGTGAATACTAATCTAAACTATTATCATTTTCAACGACTAAACGAAATAAAACACTTTCTGCCCTTTAATCATGTCTGTACTATGTGATTTGGTTCACCAATCTCTATAAAAAGTGTTACTTGAACAAAGATATGTATGTATTTTGGCTCAGTTTTATTTGTCGTCACATTCAAAATTATTCGCACTACAATTCAGTCGTTTGATTGCCTAAATTCTTCTTTGGTTGTTGTACTACTACAACCTAACTGATTGTTGTGCATTGGCTCTACATGAACATCTGTACAATTCTTTTTAGTATTCATTCACTCTCTACTGATAAACTAAAGTAATGTCAAAAATCATAATAATCACTAAAATCTGTTCTTACCAGTAGTACTATAAGTGTAGGATTGTTTCTCATTTACTGACTGCTCTTTCATTATGTTACAAGAACAAGGTATACATTTTCACCAATGATGTTTGCAAAGAATTGAATTCATAAATTGTGTATCTGATTTCACTATTGCAATGTTCAATCAATTGACTAACTTTACACTCAGATCTGTTTTCAAATTTCAATCATCATTTGAAATAATTTCCTCAATAGTGCTCTTGTTGTAAAACAATGAATGAATAATATTAGAGTAATAGGGTGACATTGTATACATTTGAAAAATGCAATTACTTTAATCTAAGTGATGAAATATTGAAAGAATCTGGGCGTTGTTTGACTGCCTATATTCTTGTAATATGTCATGCAACTATAGTTTGTGTATTGGATATTATGGTATATGAATTTTGGACTGAGCAATTCCTATTGTTTGTTTGTATAATTACTTACATTCAGCCTGGAGATTTAAGGTCAGAATTAATACAGCCAAATAAATATTCAACCAATCAAATAATCATATGGTCCAGGTTAATTATTGGTTCTATTCTATATGAGGAGCTATTTGATTGGGATAAATAATTTTTAAGAACTGATATTCGTTACAGAGCTGTTTAAAATTGAGTACAGTTTATAATATTTTGGTTTTGGGCTCCTCCGAACTGTATAAATGCAGCGGTGGACATTTGCTGTCTTCGGAAATTACGTATATCGCCACGTCCTGTTCAAAATTACTACAGGACGCGAGTCGTTGCCACAATTTCCTTTATTATTCAAAATATACAATGACTGATACGTAAAATGTAATTATAAAAAATATAAGTAATCGATATTGATGTCTAATTATTTAAACAGGTAATCAATAAAGTTAGTGGAATGACTGTATGCGTGGGCGATGCGCAATGCCCAAGCGTTGAGGCCTATGCAAACTAAATGATGATAATAGTACAAAATATATGTGAGCTGCTACATATCTAAAATACACATTCACACACTACAAGTGCAACGTGTTCAGATCACTGAGTAGTTCACCTTGAATATTAACCATGACACTTAATCCTTTCAAAAATGGATAATCAAATCACTCGTAACAGAAGAGATTACATCCTAGAAACTCACATTACTCAGTTGAAAGTTAGTTACAGCTTAGCATGTGAAGAATGTCATAATTTCGATCAGTAGACTTATTCATATCCATGAGTTAATGTATCCGAGATGGCGCCATAGTGATGTTCGGCTATACGGAATCACAACTTGTAATTTCAGATCTTAGTAAATAATTATGACAATTTTATTCTCCCCTTGATAGCACCAATTTCACTTGCAAAGTAACACATATTCATGTACATCAATGAACAGTCAGATCACTTTTACACAATATCATGTCTTCTGTAACCTACGAGTAAAGAACGCTTCCCTCACCTTACACTCTTAAACTCACAGCTCATAATTCTGACTACAAAACATCAAAGTGCAATCACTTTTGCCTGAGATCGAAATCAGAAATCACTGAGACAACCACTGAGAATGTAAAAGCATAGAACAGCTTCCTCTCCACTAGCACTAGACCCCTCAATATTGTGAAGCCAGAACCTCCCGATTGCCAAGCGAATGCTGAACGTCTGAAGCATTAGGATTATGACAACAAATGGTTTAAAATCACGGCTTCAATGAATTCGCGATAATTCACAACTACTCGTGATTTGCTCTAGTGCAATAATTCCTCACACTAGATGCGAATGAATTCCTCTGCTTCTTACTAGAACTCTGGAAATTTAATACGACCACTCGCCACAAATGAGAACATGAAGAATATCATTATGCAGTTTGCAGGGAATTTCGATTTTGATTAAGAAATCAAAATTCCTGTTTTCTATCTTAGGTTGTTGGAATTACGGTTGTTCTCGGTTTAACAGTCATATGTTCACCAGTTTTCAATGAATACCAAACTTATATTAGTTCATTAATTTAGTGGGAGTTGACGATCTACGCAGCATGTATATCAACCGTCACCTCTCACGCGCTTGTTATCCTCAGACTGTAGTCACATAATGAATAAATCCACCTTCATTTCTGTTTACGTAGATGATTTTGAACGTGTACTCTTTGTTTGATGATGGAGCTTTTCTCCCTTTACAATTCTGAAACATGTGAGAAAACATTTGGTATGACATGTAATGTTCAAATTTATTTTCATAAATAATCAATATCAAATCTTGTTTACTTTCTATCTGTCATAATAGCATTATGTATGTAGATCCCTTTCACCAGTTGCTGAATCATCGAGGTTTATTAGTATAGATATTCGTGATTATTTAAAGGAGTAATGCGAAATAAAGAGAAGAATTCAAAGTTTCGAATAATCCATTCCAATGTATGTTGTATGAATATAAACTGTTATTTCCATGGATGGAACGCCTCACCTCTGGACCATTTAGGCCATTAGGAAAAGAACATTCATCTTTTAGAGAATATATCATCGAAGTTGAAATCACTTGAGATTATGGAATCATATGTAGTTTATCAGAGAGTATGAATTGCATACCTGCCTGGGAAAATTGGAAAAGTTTGTCTTACACACAAATACTATGGTAGAGGTTGATGTAACACGAACCAATGGAGAGAAGATATTTTTCCTCAATTATTAGTTCATGATCGTAAATTCATCGAACGGTTACGTAACGTAGTATTCACAATAAGTCACACTGATCGATAAACGATAATACGTAATTGAGAGAAAGAGGATTATAATATACAAAATAATTATTGGAAGATTCGTTGGAGATTTTGTTACTACTATTGTTCATTCATATCACTTTTTACTTTGTTAAATTTTTACACATTTGAAATCATCAATCAATGATTGTTAGATCACCAGTAGAAACCTGCAAGCAGTGGACGGGCGATTAGTCGTGGTATGGTACTCATCAGCAGTGCACATCCATGACTCCCGCACCTCACAGGATTTGAACCCAGGACCTGCAGTCTTGCGCACGAACGCCTAAACTTTAGACCACTGAGCCGGCATTCAACAGTGTTAATGTCTAACTCTGATTGATCTGGGGATTCTGCGCAACTCCACCCATTTGTATTTGGAAATTACTGACTACACCGAACAGGGTCGTACTCTACTGGTCACGTCTTCTCACTAGAACTCTGAAAATTTCCCCACGAAGCTAGTCACTAGTAAACATATTTTACGATTTTTTTAATTAGAGTTATGGAGATTAATGTGTTGACACATTTGTTTAGTCCTACAATTAATTAATCGAAATTCTAAATAATCAGTTACACTTCAATTTACATTTCTATCTAATACTAGACTTGAAGTCAGTTCATTATACAAAATATCTTTATGCAGTCCTTGGAATTCTAAGAGCTGTTTATAAAATGTTTGCATAAAATAATAAGTAGACGAAGTATCAGACAGATTAGTTCATGAATTTGATTGCATGTCTGAAATATACCCGAATTCATTTTATGAAACCAATTATATTACGAACAATCATTTATGGTAGACATCAGTGTTTTCCAATATTTCAACATAACACTCCCATCTGGTGAAATAGTATGCATTTAGCTAAATCACATGAACCCCAGATGGCAGTTTGATACAAATAAGCGATCAATAGTTCACATGTTTTCAAGTTTTCCTAATGGATTTCACAATTCATAGAATTCGAAATATATTCCTTATTTTGATTATTGTTATTGTAAGATTTTCATAAGTTCAAGATGTCCATAACATTGTATGGAATGTTTAACAATGCACAATGGTTTAATGCAATTCAAGAGGAATTGATGTGTAAATTTCGTGTTTACTTATTACTCATTTTTAAAACATGTTTAATGCGTAAACAAATCATAATCAATTGTAATTATTGTGTGTTTAAATTGTTCAATATGAACAAACTAATTAAAATATACAAAAATTACCGAATTATAACAGTCGATTAACTTTATGATTACCATTTCACAATAACTAAGTTCAACTATTGTAATATACAGACAATATAACCGCTTCAACTGGACTAGATGTGAAACTAATTATCACCCTAAGTGCATAGATTATGTAAAAGATAGTCACAAAATTGAGGAATAACTATTGAATTTCGCTCGGTTACATAATATACAATGAGTTCTCTATGTTTCAGCTCATCGATTTCGGTTCATATAATAATATCAACTGACATGTGTGTGCTCGGAAAAAACTTGTGTCTTTCATGGATAACCTATGATGCCTGAATAAAACAAGCGAGACCTAGATTCTCGACAGTATTACCTACGACTGAGGATAGTGATCAATAAATCACAAATAAAAATATACTTTACCATTGTAATCAATTCCTTATAAACATCATATTGAAGTGAAATTTATCGGCGTAATTTCTAATCCATTCATTGTGAATATCGGCAACAAATCACTATTACATTCTATTTTCGTGGTTAGATGCAGCATACTTAAATCTTTTGTCCCTTCTTCACAATCAATTTCCTAAATATCCATTGTTCACACTTGATAGTATTTGGTAGAAATTAACTTCGTAATTACTCATTAGACTTGTGTACATAAATATGGGTGAATAATATACCTTTGAACATATCTGTATGACTTCTTGCGAATAGTTTGAACATGCACAAGAAGTCTGTAAGAAGTTCTGAGTTAGTGTTCCCGTCGCTTTTCTTCATTTTGCTTTGAAGTGAGCTTCATATTCTTGTGTGATATCAAAACGACTGCTTGATTATGTTAAAAATGAATATAATTGCTTGAACAAGTTTTCCTTGTTACTTGATGAAACTATCACATTTGAATCTCGGTCCGATTTATACGAAGACATGTTTCGTGTGCATTTTTCTCACTATGAAACTCCGCACATGAAAATTCTCCTTCTGAAACTGTGATCAGCCGAAAATCAGAAACATCTAAATCTTATCTCATCAAACAGACCTAATGATAATTTACCCTACTACTGGAAAGAAACTAGGCGAAAAATTCACTATTCAGAATTGTTTCTAATCTTCCCTGAGTCTGATATTTTACAGCAATACTACGGAGTATCGTCAAATTCATTATCTAGTTCTGTTAAGCTTACATCAGATAACTCTATGTAAGTGTCTCAATCCGTTCAAAACAATGGCGTCCCAATACACGACCCACAGAAATGCTATCGGTCAAATGTCTAATATTAATGATGCATATCATTATCATCCAGGATCTTTCCTTAGTTACACGGAACTGTGATGTATGAAATTTCTCAAGTTTCTGCGAAGTTATAAATTTCGCTGGATTAAAATTTCCAGTTAACCAACTACCAATAATTTTTCACTTGGTACGTTCATATGCGGAACAAGTACCATCAGAGTGGAAAGAAGGATACCTGATCAAAATACCAAAGAAAGGCGATCTCAGCAAGTGTGAGAACTACAGATGCATCACTCTTCTTTCAATACCAGGCAAAGTCTTCAACAGGGTATTGTTAAACAGAATGAAGCACTTCGTAGACGCCCAACTTCGAGATCAACATGCCGGATTTCGGAAGGATCGATCGTGTACTGACCAAATTGCTACATTACGGATCATTGTGGAACAATCAATTGAATGGAACTCACCACTCTACATCAACTTCATCGACTACGAGAAAGCATTCGATAGCGTGGACAGGAAAACACTGTGGACTCTTCTTCGACACTACGGGGTGCGTGAGAAAATAGTTAACATCATACGGAACTCTTATGATGGATTCAACTGCAAAATCGTGCACGGAGGACAGCTAACCGACTCTT